AAAACTGAAACTAACTTTTCAAAAATTGGTTTTATTTATTTTTGATACTGTTACAAAGGTCTTTCATGCCACTGGTGGTTGTTATTAAGTAGCTGAGAGTGACCTTAACCTTAGGTCCTCCACTTCTCTTCTGCTGGGATTATGGGCTTGCTCCCCAGGACCTGGTTTAATTGATGCTGGGGATCAAATCCAGGTCTTTATGAATGCTAGGCAATTATTCTACCAACTGAGCTACATCTCCACTTGGACCACTTACTTTTTAACCCATTCATTTAAAAATATAGTTAAATTATATACAGAAGATATTAAAGTAATTCAAATAAAAATCAAAAGGCATTTGAATTTAGTTACTACTTGTGATTTATTTATGTAGTTCATCCTCACAATATGTATTATTTGTAAAAATCTTTTAGCTAATACATTATACTTTATATTGAAAATTGAGAAACATTCACTCTAACTGAAACAGTTAATAGTCATTGGCATGACCAGTATTATTGATCTATAATTTTGAAAAGGTTTTTTTCATAGGAGTAGTAAGTACCAGGGGGACTTTTTAACCAACAGTCTTGAAAGAGTGGCTCAGTACTATAATTTTCTTTGTAGCATGCCTCATTGCCATGAAGGATTAAAAGAAAAGAAAATTCAAACATTGCTCATAGATAAAAATCCCCATGGTGCACTGGCAGGATGGCTCAGCAGCAAAGATGCTTGCCCCCAAGCCTGATGACCGGAGTGTGATCCCCATAACTCACAGTGTAGAAGGAGAACTGACTTGTATGAGTTACTCTCACCTTTACACATGTGCTGTGGTTTGTGTGTGCATGTGTACCCACAACACACACACACACACACACACACACATACACACACACACACACACGATGTAATTAAGGCAAACCAGGAGCAAACTCATTTAATAGCTCTTTTTACAAATAAAAACTATTCTCTGTATACAAGTTTAGAACAAATCTTTTGGTTACACATTAAATTCTAGTACCTGTGTTGTAGGAATATTGTTAATAGATCTCAAATGTTTACTATTTGATTTTGGTTAGATACACACTTTTTTTTTTGGTGGTTGTTTTTAAGCTTGTTTCTTGTGTGATATGCTTTTAAAGCTAGAGGTAGATGTATCTCAAGTAGGTATAGCACTAGCCTTTCTTTACTTGCTCTCCTGTTTGATCAAGTCTGCCAGTAATTTCTTCGTGTCTGATCGCCACTCTAGAAATAAAGGAGCGCTGATATTTATCCCATTCATCTTCATGATCTGTAAATACATGGAGATGTCTAGAGACTTGCTTTAAAGTCCCATGAAAAAGGAGAAAGAGACACTTGAACAAACCTGCTAGCTTCTCTTTTGGGAGAATTTATTCAGTAATTTGTTTCTGTAGTGTGTTTTGTGACAGTAATTTCAGGACCACTGCTCCTGAAGAAAGTTCTGTGATTAAATTGAAGAAACATCATATACTATTAATTAAAGCCTATTAAGATTCACAATGCACATTAGTATGTTAAGGGTTCTGAGACATCTCTTGTCAAAAGAAGCTTACTAAAGCTTGCTTATTCTGTATTTCTTAAGTGTGTTGGACAATGGAATTCTTTGATTCAAACTTGTCTGTCATGTGATAAATGCTGCCCTCTAGAGGCATAAATTCACTGGCTCTTGAATTTGAGCACCACAGTACTAGTGTGTACTAAATGCTGTTAAAACAAACACCAAGTGCACAGTAACAAAATAGCTTACTAGAAAAAGTGTCTAATTTAATTTTAAGAAAATGTATATTCTAAAATTGTATTTATTACATATACTGACATTCATCTTTTAATACAGTCTCTCTTTTTTTTTTGGACAGTTTTTGAGATAGAATCTAGGGCCTTGCATGTGCTAGGTAGGTCTTCTACCTTTGTGCTACACATGCACCCGGATATATTCTTTTAATAGGAGAAATTATTGTTACTGTTTAATTTTTTATTACATTTTAATTTGTGAACAAGTATTTAAGAGTACAGAGAATGCCTTCCAAGAGTCAGTTCTTTCCTTTTCCTGGGGACCAAATTCATGTAATCAAGCTTGTCAGCGAGCACCTTGAACTGCTGCTAAACTACCGTGTTGGCACTGTATAGGGAATTGTTGAGTATTGCTTGGTGGCAGAAGTTATCCTTGCCTGTCCTCTGTTTTTTTTTTTTTTTTTTTTTTTTTTTTTTTTTTTGTGTGTGTGTGTGTGTGTGTCCCTTAAAGACAAGCTTTCCTTCTGTAGCCAGTAAACTCACTATGTAGCTCAAACTGGCTTTAAACCCCTGATGGACCTCCTGCCTCACCCCCTCACATCCATCCTTTATCTACTTAGAAGAGTGACCAGTCTTTCCCACAATCCTTAGGTTTCCAGATCTCTAACTGGAGCCAAGATTATATCATACTACACCCTTGTCTAGTCAGACTGGAAAGAAAAGGATTGTGTAGTGGATACTTTTTAAGACTTGCTAAGATAGCAAAATCGTACGTATGTATGAATTTATTTCTAAAGATGGGTGGGGAAGGGAGGAAGAGAAAGGAGGGATACACTACACAGATAACTTCTGCATTTTTGCTGAATGAGTTAATGTGGTATACTTATAAAAATTTTGGATTCAGTAATTTAGCTCAAATGGTTCCAATTGTTTGCTCCTTTGATTTTGGTATTGCCTTATACTAACTGAAACTCATGGTACAGTTTAGAGGAAATGAAAAAGTTCAGACAAGGTTGTTGGAGTCCATTATCAGTAGGACTATTCAGCAGTTGTTCTGATCCTAGGTCAGAAGAAAAACCTTTATGGCAGTGTTTATTAAAACACTTGACTGCTGCTGTGATGACAGAAGCTACTTCCATTGAAATTGCCCTCTCTCTCTCTCTCTCTCTCTCTCTCTCTCTCTCTCTCTCTCTCTCTCAGAAAAACCTTTATGGCAGTGTTTATTAAAACACTTGACTGCTGCTGTGATGACAGAAGCTACTTCCATTGAAATTGCCTTCTCTCTCTCTCTCTCTCTCTCTCTCTCTCTCTCTCTCTCTCTCTCTCACACACACACACACACAGAGAGAGAGAGAGAGAGAGACAGGCAACTTCTGCCACCAAGCAATACTCAACAATTCTCTATACAGTGCCAACACGGTAGTTTAGCAGCAGTTCAAGGTGCTCGCTGACAAGCTTGATTACATGAATTTGGTCCCCAGGAAAAGGAAAGAACTGACTCTTGGAAGGCATTCTCTGTACTCTTAAGTACAGGAAGAGCTGTTAGGATTCTCGGATGCTCACAGTTCCTCAACAAAGATAGGCAGCATTCCTATAAGAAAGAATGCGGAACATGAAGGTCAGAGAGACACTGGCATCACTTCTCCTTCGCTGTGGCTATAAAATGGTAGATCCTAGATCTCAAATAGGAGGGCGGCCCATTAGGATCTATTAAGTTCAGCCACACTCCCCACCCTCCTAGTACTGGGGATTGAACCTAGTGTTTGCAGATGTGTGCTACTTGTAGTTTGTATTCCTAGGCAGTGTCTAAGATGCACAGGCTCGCTCTGAGTTTGTGATCCTCTTTCCTTAGCCCGTGCCAGAGGCCTGGCTCAGGTCCTTTTTATATGCTTATGTGTTGACACATTTCCTTCACACTTTTCATCCCTATTCCTCCTGTGCAATTTAGTCTGTAGGCTCCAGGGAAACACAGGAAATGGCTGTCACATACAATCTCTGATATTTTGGAGCTGGGCTAGCAGCTGATGGGACTGTGGCTTTCATTTTCCTGTGAGGAACAGGATTTGTCCATTTTGATCATCTTGAGAATCTTGTTTGAAGTTTATCCTTAAGAATAATAGTTGGGATCTGGAGAGATGGCTCAGTGGGAAGAGCACTGGCTGTTCTTCCAGAGGACCTGGGTTCAAGTTCTAGTATCCACATGGCAGCTCACAATTGTCTGTAACCCCAGTTCTAGGAGATCTGACATCTTCACACCAGTACAAGTAAAATAAAGTTTTTTTTTTTTAAAAAGAAGCCAATAAAAGCATTAAAAAAAAAAAAAAAAAGAATCATTTTGTGTGTGTGTGTTGGTCATGTTTTCGATTGTTTATTTTGGATAGCCTGTCCTGGACATTTGCATGCTTGGCTAGAATATGTTGAACTCAGTTACCCAGAATTCTTTGTAATAGGATACAGCATGTGATCTAGGCTTTGTGGATCATATGAATCCATAAGATACAAATTCAAAAGAGAAATGCAAGGAAATAGCTCTTGCTTGGGAAGGCTGCTTCATGTGGGTATGGTGCGTGATACACCGAGTTTGAGGAAGCAGTAGTGGCAGAGGGAGCCATGAGCCTTATCCAAACTGAGCTGTTGAGGTACTAGAGTGTTCTTACCAGGATCACTTGCAAGACTGCTGTTTTCCTGTCTGTAAAGCCTGCAAGTTGATGCTTTGGCTCTCTATGAGAAGAATCTTTTGACTCACCTGATATATTTTAAAAAGTTACTTTTGTAACTTAGATTCCTGGTTTTATAGTTTTTTTTCCCTAAGACCTAAACATTGCCAAGCACTTTCCCCCCAGTGTTTCTTCCCCAGAGGCTTAAGTTTCTGCTCCCATTTTTCTTGCTTAGTATGTGTTTTGCACCTTTAAATTGTTGTGTTTTTGCCCTCCACCTCTCAACTTCAGTTTCACTGTAGTTAGGAGCCCTTTCTGAGCCATCCCAGCTGCCAGCTGCTTCCTTTCTTCCGAATGCCAGCTGCGGTTGTCTAGGTGAAGTGTTGGTTTTTCTTTCTGTATGTGTGTTGGTGCCACACTGTGCAATAAGCTCCCTGTAAGCTGCTAACAGGCCTTTCTGTCTCCTGCATTACCCTCAGAATGCACCTCTTAAATTCAAGGTCACCTAAAAAATCACAATGAGGCCAGGCTGAGTGAGCTAAGATAACAAACTAGTTATACTTGATTTACCTTAGCAGTCTGGCCAGGAGGCCCAATTTCCTTCTTCCTTACTGAGGCTCAGACCTGCTCTTGTCCGTGGGTCACACTGCACCATCTGAATTACGTCTTTGTAATGGTTCATGATTTATGCCTTGACAAAATCCTCTGTTTATCTCCTACTTCCTGCCTAGTTCCTCTCATTGTACCTTTTGGAATTGATAGTCATTGTCAGCAAGTTTACTATTTTAAATACCTTTAAAATTTTGTATAAATAATGAAGAGACTCAAACGCAACCATAGAAGTTCAGAAGGTATTGTAACATCCCTTTGGGCCAATTCAGGGTTGAGGGGATGTTAACATTTGACCTCCCATGAATCCCTAGCCTGTTTTTGTATCACAGACTGGCATTGAACTAATGATTCTTGTGCCTTAGCTCCCAGACTACTAGCAAATTTTCTTCCTTTGAAGTTTTTACCTTCTCAACTGTCTTCCCTCCTTTACTTGGTACCTAGTGTCCTAAGGTGTAGGGGGTCATTCCACTGTTGTTTTTGGATGTGTGTCAGTGGTTCTCAATCTTGCTAGTTCTTTTAACCTTTAATACAGTTCTTCATATTGTTGTGACCCCAACCATAAAATTATTTTGTTGCTACTTTATACTGTAATTTTGCTACTGTCGTGGATCATAATGTAAATGTATGATATATAAGTCCAAACAGGTCTTGACCCACAGATTGAGATCCACTGATCTAAGCCATTTACATAAAATGACTTAAACAGTTTTATACCACATTGCTTTCTAGGTACATTCAAGTGACACATGTAGGCTAGTTTATTTCTTAAAGCTGTTGTTAACTTTTCCATGCTGAGTAAGGTTTGGTTTTGCCTTTTGGCAAGTAATACTGTAGTGCATGAACATAGTGTTTATAGTGTATGAATTGATCTGAGATAGACATCAGAAAGTAGGGGGTCAGAGTAAGTTCAGGTATTGCTTTTGGGTCCAAAAGGAAGCCTGTTGCCATGTTTCCCTTGTCAGTATTTAATTTTATCTAGCTTCTAATTGACCTGTCTGGAAGATGAGAGTTGAATTTTCACTTTCTTTTTTTAACTCTTATTTGATAGAAAATTTAATTTTATTACTTTAATTTCTAGTGAAGTTGAACATCTTCAGTCATTTTGGTTTCCTATTCTTTGAATCTTTTCTTTGTATGCTTTATACATTTTACTTATTGTATTTTGGCTTTACATTGATTTCTGAAATTTGTTCTTTTATATTTTGTATAATATTATATACATTATTTTTTGGGAAAATATGCATTGTAAGTACCTTTTCCAGTCTTTCTTACACTCACCTCTTAGTGTTTTAGTGTGTTGTTTGAGTGTATAATTAATGTTGACTGTCAGCCTGATAGATTGAGTCATGCCTAGGAGCTTAGTAAAGTTCACTTCTGCGTGTTTCCAGAGGGGATTGAGGATGGAAGAGCTGCTCTGACTGGGCTGCACCAGTCACTAGACTGAGGGGCGGGCGGGTGGAGCAAAAACCTGGTGTACACAGCTATAATCCCAGTACTCCAGATGTCAGGAGTTTTAGGCTCCTTTGGTTTACTTAGCAGGATCCTGTCTCAAAGACCAGGTGCTGAGAGTGTGGCATGTGCAAGGCCCTGGGTTAGATCTTTAAAATTGTCCCCCATCCCGCTCCTGCAAGAAGGAGGCAGAAAGCTGAAGATGGAGGTGCTTGGGGAAGGAGGAAGAAGCCTGCTAGCATAGACAGGCATGCTGTCTTTCTGCTTCCTGTCCACTGTGATCTGACTTCGTGATAAGAGCTACTCTGCTGTGTCACACCTCCTGTCACAAAGTACTGCAACCCCAAGTCAAAGGAATCCCTTCTCGTATTAAAATGATTTCTGTCACGTGCTTTTAACAGTGTGAGAAGCCTGGCTAAGTCAGGGAGTTTTATTTGCATTGTTTCTATTCTTTGGGCTGACTTGGTTTGTCTACTCTTATGTCATCATCATACTGTTAAAATTAGAACAGTTGTAAGTGTCTTTGATATTTAATAAAGTGAATCTTTTCTGAAACTTTTAGGTCAGCTTATTGTTTTCAAACCTCCTCCCAAAATAATCTAATAAAAAAGCAAACCTCAATGGCTGTTGTAACTGATTGGAACTTCCTGAAAATTTATAGCTTTTAGCATGGGTAATGGTTATCTGTCTCCTTATATACTGTTTATGATTCCTTTCATATATGCTATTTTTAGATTAATTCTTGTTACTGTAGCCCTGGCTGGCCTAGAACTTACTATGTAGACCAGGCTGGCCTCAAACTCAGACATCCTCTTGTTTCAGCCTACCAAGTGCTGGGATTAAAAGCGTGTACCATCATTCCTAGTCCCACCCCCATTTTTCTTCCCCCTGAACTCTTAATTCAAGTAATAGATTTTTTGGGGGGGGTGTTTTGTGTTGATAAGCCTATAATTAGTATAGTGATTGTTAATGCTGCCCCAGCCTGCCCTTTAATTTTTCTTGTAATAACTAAATTTCTTGTAAATAACTAAATAACAACCCTTCCTTGATTTTGGTTATTTTTGTGCTAGTGTGTAGAAAAAGGAAGGGAAATTTGAATTTTAAGGACCAAAAAGTCTTAACTGCAGTCCATGTAGAGGTTAAATATATTAGTTCCAGCTAGCAACTCTTTACAGGGCAGAAACTTTGCCCCCTTGCAGACTTGTACTGACATGTGAAGATTTCACTCTCACGCTGGCTAAAAGATCCATTTAAAAGAATGGCTCTGATGTGCAATTGTGCATTTCTAGGACCACCGTACATTTTATGTGCTCTGCATTATTCTTCACCTGTAAGCAGAAATTTATTTTTACCTACTTTCCCTGTTGATTTAATTGTTAAATAAATAATAAAATTTTCTTGATTCTTAGTCCTAGACTATACCCTCTTGATTTCTTTTTCTCTTTCCAGGCATTCTCAACACCTTGTTTTCTACTCCATACTAACCTGTCTGTGCTCTAAACCTATTTTATGACTCCATGTAGCTGTCTTAGAAGTAGCTTAAACATAACAAGTCTAATGAAATACTAATTCTCACTCACATGATTTGACCTTTAGCCTATCTTTTTAGCCCTTTCTCATGGGACTTCAATTGTTATCTCTGGTCTTATGTCATTACCCCCCCCCCCCCCACACACACACACCAAGCAGGGGTTCTCTGTAGCTTTGGAGGCTGTCCTGCAAACTCAGAGATTCACCTGTCTCTGCCTCCCAAGTGCTAGGATTAAAGGCATGCACCACCACCACCTAGCAAATGTATATATATTTAACATAGACAGAAGATACTAATGTTAGTCATTAGGTAGAGGCAAGTTAAACTTACAAGATAACCTTCAAAAAATAGCCAAGAAGGGCTAAAATTCCAAGATTGATAACACAAATTTTCTAGGAAGATACCAGGACCCTCCTAGACCACACCTCTAGCAGCCTCTTACAAATTGAAACATGTATACTTCTGAATCTAGCATTGGGCTCCTATGTATTCCAGAGAGAAATGCAAACACTCATTCATAAGAAGCTCTTTGAAAAGAAAAGGAGGAGTACTGGATTTTTTCAGAATAGCTGATGACTGGAAGCAACCCAAACATCATTCAGTAGCTAATGGCTAAAGCTTCCTGCAGGCTAGTGCTACTCATTAATAAAAAGGAACCCCCAATGTAGAAAGAGACATAGATGAATTGCACAGACACACTCAGAAGAAGGTGGAGTCCGAATTTTTAATTTCATTTATATCAAGTTCTCGATAAGACAGAGCCAATCTGTGATGACAGAAGTAAGAGTAGTGACAACTGACTGCCTTTGGGTTGTAAAAAGTGCTGATGGTGGATAGTCAGCCAGGCATGTTTCCCGACAGATGTGTGAAAGATGGTATATCTATCTGTTGGACAGCTAAGAAATGTGTATTTCCAGGTATATAAGATTTATCTGTTAATTATAAAAATAGTTGAGTGACTGGGAATTAAAGCTGGCTAATTGGTCCACATCCATTATTCTGCTTATTCTGTACATAAAAATCTTCACATAAAATTTTGAAGGTCAAATGTTATGAAGACACAAACACCTGTGCATGTTCTATTAAGTCAATAAAAATAACCTTATTAATATAATTATGTTCCTTCTCTTACAATTGTACATTGATTCTCTTAAGTACCTTTTTACACCTCTCTCTCTCTCTTTTTTTTTTTTTTTTTTAAGGCAGCGTTTCCCTGTATATATATAGCCCAAGCTGGTCTTGAAGTTGAAGTCCTTCTGCTTTAGCATCCCAAGTGCTGGGATACAGGTGTTATGCTACCCTGGCTAGCATTTCTTTGCTCTAAGTATCTTCTATATGTGTTGAAAAGGTTGATTCTGTGGGGTGAGGGGGAAGCTGTTCTTGATTTAGAATACTTACTAGGGTATTTTTCTCTCTATCTCTCATCACAGTCATGGTTTAGATCTACAATGGCCTTGCAGGTTCATGATTTGAATTCTTGTTCACAAGCTAGTGCTATATGGTAGGTGTGTCTAGGTGGTGGAGGCAGGTCACTAGGAGTGGTCTTGAAGGTTGTAGCCTGGACTTTGGTTTGTCTGTTGTGTTGTGAGAAACATCTGGCACAGGCAGGCTTCTGCCTCCAGGAACTCCTCTCCACCCTTCCTGCAATGGTGCATGCCAACCTCTGCCTTTCCTGCAGTGGTACATGCAAACCCCTTAAATTGTGCCCCTCAGTAAGTCCTTCCTTAAGTTGTTTCTGTCAGGTATTTTGTCATAGTTATGAGACAAGTAATTATTAAAATAATTTACTCTCCTCAGAAGACTTAAGTTTGCAGAGGTGCAGAGGGTAACTATTCTGTGTATTCTAGACGGCTTTTTACATCATTGTGACCAATACTTGAGAAAAGCAACTATGGAAAACCTTTGTGTGTGTGTGTGTGTGTGTGTGTGTGTGTCCATGTCTGTGTGTTCCCATCCTTGCACACACACTCATGTGTGTGGGGGCCAGATCTTGACTTTTGGCATTGTTCCTCAGGATAACCATTTAACTTGTGTTTTGAGTAAGGGTCTCTCACTGGGACCTGGAGCTTGTGAATTTGGTAGCCAGATGC